TCTTCTTCACCTGTAAAAGAAGGGTATGTATTAATATTGACTGTCTGTTTTGGTGAGGAGACAATGTGTTGATGTAAGTAAAATAGCAAAGAGTAACAACTCCTCAACCGTTAGAAAATGCCGGAAGCAGTAGAGGGGCATGTTTACCTTTGTAGTAGAAACAGAAGCTATAGGGAAAAATCTCAGGGCTAGAGCTCCTCCCCACTGCTGCCTCCAGGTAGTGGCTCTCATAGCCCTCTCTTAGAACCTCTTCCTTTCCTTGCCACTGGGGCCCTCTGCCCTGAACCACTCTTCTGCACATTCACCATGGCTTTGATACCAGCAGACTCCCCACTGTTCTCCACATCCCAAAACCACTTCAGCTTCCACACAGATGATCCAACACTCTGGCTCGATGCAGGTTGTGGCCCATTTATAGTCATGAAATCAACTGAACATGTCATGACCAGCAAGACAAAACAAAACAGAATGGAACAGAGGGAAATGTAGCAGCATGTCATATTAGGTAAGGGTATTTTTTAAATGAAACATTGTTTCAGTCATACATATGTAGACTTATATGCTGTGGGTTGTGATGTAAAATGTATTTCTTACTGTGGCTTGCTGATAAATGAGTCCCAAACCCTACTCCAACTCTAGCTTTGCTCTGGACACTGGGTTTCTTGACCTCCTCTGTTGAGAGGTCTCCACTTTGGTGATCACTCCCACAACCACATCTTGGATCTGGTCACTAAGAATGGGTCCATCTCCAAAACTTGGAATTTGCACTCTTTAATCACTAACACTCCTATTCTGCAACTTTTCCTCATCTCCTAACTTTCACTAACTGTTTTCTTTTATTGTTGTTTTTAAAATATATATATTTCCTCTTTTTAAACCCTGTTTCTTGAATCCAAACTTTCTGCTCCTCAATTTTCCTATTGGGACTGACTTAGCTCAGCTTTAACTATCCAGACGGTTTTTTTTTTTTTTTTTTTGCTGTCCTCCAGAATATTACTCTCTTCAAGGTGACAGGAAACCCCCTTCAAGTCCCAAACTGAACATGGCACTTCTAAATTTAAACATGTGGTCTGGTTCCCCTTTGTACAAACCCACAAGACCCTTCTCAGGAGTACCCAATTAACTCAATCAGATTGTTTCCAGAAGCAGGGTACTTCCAACCAAACTCTTCCTCATCTCTCTCATGCTTCCAAATATAGACATGTCACTGCTTCTTGTTTTGCCTGGTACACTATTCTGGTGTTGTACTCCATCCACAGCCCCTGATGAAGCAGCATCCATCCCTGTGTGCACCTCCTGCCCCTACCATGGCCAAGTAGCCAGGGGAAGGCCTTAGACTAGAGGGCAGAGCATAGGAACTGGCCAGCATGCTGTGAAGAGTGTAACTGGATCCCTCTCCTAGGAAATTAAGTGACTCTTCCCAGGAAGCTAAGCAAACTACAGAGGAAAGTCCTGCTAGTCAAAGCCAAAGAAACCAGTCAACAAAAAGGACAACCAAACAGGAACCACCATAGAGACCCAGAGAGAGAGAGAGACAGAAAAACAAAGTAACTGCTTCATGTCATTGGCCAGTACCTGTTTCCCAGGAGGCCTGGCTGCCCAGAAGAACCTGTCCTGGGTCCCCTCTTGAGATCCTGGCACCATTACAACCAACTTCACGTTTGCCTGAGTGACCTTCAGTGGGCCTCTTTTCTTGAATGCAAAAGCGTACAGAAGGGAACTTTCAGCTCACTGAACTTTTACTGTTGCCTGACCCATGATCCTGTGCCTTTGCACATAAAATATGTGTTCCCAGGGATGCTCAGTCTCCTTTTACCTATATTGCAACTGCTTACTTATCCTTTAGGAAAACAAATGTCCTTTGATGAGCCTCCAGCTCCCTAGACCAGCGCCTCCTCTGCATGCCTTCAGCACTTTGCTCATCCCTGGTTATAATAAGACCTCTCTTGCTGTTTCATAATTGCTTGTGTTTCTATGTCTATCTCTGGACTCTCAGCCTCTTGAGGCCAGTGTCATATCCTACTCATGTTTTTACCTCCCCAGTCTGGAGGTGGGTAGCAGATTCTGTTGGTTCCCTCCTCACACCCCTTCACCTGGAGCTCACTCATCGGCAGACAGTCTCGGTGTACTCCCACGGACTTTCTGTGGCTCTCTGCCTGAGTGTATCAGAGATACCAGGAGCAGAAGGGAGTGAATACCCGAGGAGTGACCCTCAGCCAATGAAAGGTGGGAGTTGGTGGATAAATACTTCAGCTTCCTGCCCCTTGGTGGGTTCACTGAGTTCTATACAATTCCTCAGAGGGTCCTTTGCAAAACCAAGCCCCAGTGGCCTGTGGTGGCTTCTTCCCTGACTGATCTCATGTCCTCACTCCGTTACCATGATTTCTAGAATCACCTCCTAAAAAAAACTACTTGCACCCTAAAAAAAACATGTCTCAGGAATTGCTTTTAGATGAGCCCAACTAAAACAGTGAGATAAAGCACACAGTGCCTGACAGATAATGAACAACTGAGACCATCAGCTCCTACCCCTCTTTCCATTGGCATAGCATAACAAGAGACACCCTGTACACCCCACCCTGTTTCACTTTCTTCTCCCCAGATAGGATCCAATGGCAAACACACTCATTAGCACCCTCCCCTCCTTGGTCGCTGGTCATTTAGAAGAGTCCATCCTGAGAGTTCCTAGGCACTGACACAGACTTGGATTCTCTCCACTCCTGCTCTGCAAAGTTGAGCACTGCAGAAGCAAACTCTCCTATGATATTAGCTGGGGATTATTTAATATTTATCATTTTCCAACCTTCAACAAACTTCAAAACCCTTTACTTGCCCCCAATCATTTCCTTTAGCAATGATTATTCGCTGCTATGACTATGCCCACCTTTCACCAGGATGCTCCCACCCCCTTCTTCTTTCTTTCCCTGCCCTCTTTGTATCTGGAGTACTTGAGTGAGTGAAGTCAGCATGTCTTAGCACTTGCTAGAAGAAGGGCTCAGATTCTGATAAGGGAAAACAAACCACAATCAGGTTCCTTGGACTATCCAACTAGAGCAGAGATCCCCAGCCTTTATGGCACCAGGGACTAGTTTCGTGGAAGAGAATTTTTCCACAGACTGATGGGGTGGTGGGGTGGGGGATGGTTTTGGGAGGATTCAAGCACATTACATTTACTATGCTCTTTATTTCTATTATTATTACACTGTAATATGTAATGAAATAATTATACAGCTCACCATAATGTAGAATCAGTGGGAGCCCTGAGCTTCTTTTCCTGCAACTACATGGTCACACCTGGGGTGATGGGAGACAGTGACAGATCATCAGGCATTAGACTCTCATAAGGAGTGCATAACCTAGATCCCTCACATGCACAGTTGACAATAGAGTTCATGCTCCTATGAGAATCTAATGCCACCACTGATCTGACAGGAGGCAGAGCTCAGGCAGTAATATGAATACAGATGAAGCCTCTTTTGTTTGCTGCCTCTCAACTTCTGTTGTGTGGCCCAGTTCCTAACAGGCCATAAACTGGTAGGTGGCCCGGAGGTTAGAGATGCTTAGATTAGAGGTAGGAGATGAGCTTCAGACCCACCAAGTACAGTGCTGGGCACAGGTTAGTAAATAATTGTTACAGGGATGTCAACCTGTCAAAATGGTCTGGATTGGCCAGAGGAAGAGGGGACCATGGTGAAAGGGCAGCAAAAGAACAACACTTAGACAAGTACTATTACTAGCTCCATTTTACAGATGAGAAAACTAAGCTATTGACAGGTTAAGTAACTTGTTCTGGGTCACACAGATGGTAAATGGGATAGTCAGGATTTGAACTCAGACAGTCTAGCTCTGAAGTCTGACAATGTATCATACTGTATCTACTGACTTTTGAATACAGAATTGTATTAGTCTGTTTATATGCTGCTGATAAAGACATATCCAAGACTGGGAAGAAAAAGAGGTTTAATTGGACTTACAGTTCCACATGGCTGGGGAAGCCTCAGAATTATGGTGGGAGGCAAAAGTCACTTCTTACATGGCTGCAGCGAGAGAAATATGAGGAAGAAGAAAACGCGGAAACCCTTGCTTGATAAGTCCATCAGATCTCATGAGACTCATTCACTACCATGAGAATAGCATGGGAAAGATTGGCTCCCATAATTCAATTACCTCCCCTTGGTCCCTCCCACAACACTTGGGAATTTTGGGAGATACAATCCAAGTTGAGATTTGGGTGGGGGCACAACCAAATCATATCAAGAATTATTGATAAATCATTCTAAAATCAGCACAATAGAATCCATCATCTGCCTCCCAAGCCTGGCATGCTTATAATACATATCAGATATATAAATAATACATATCAAACAATTTAGATAAAAAATACTGTATGTATAATCCACTGTGCATTATTACACAGCCATTATTAGTGGAAAGGAAACTAAAATGAGTGTGCATTTTTCTCTCAGTTGTTCTGTGGATGTCAATCATGGCTAAAGTGAGTCCCAGTGATACAGTGAACACAGTGGTAAACTGAGGCACCCCACAACATGGCTAACTACACAGCAGCCATACCTCAATTTGCACATCTGAAGAACAGAGGGCTGGAGTAGACAATGTCTCAGGTCCTTTTCAATGTTAAGATTTTGTTTTTCCATTTTGTATTGACAGGAAAAACTTAACTTCAAACCTGTCCAGCCTACACTTGAAATTCTACTGATGCAGGTGACTGGGGTCAGGGAGGGAGCCTGTATGAGGACTGGTACATAATCTCTGTTCTCCTTGGAAAATCCGCAGCAGCATTTTCATATCTGAAAAATCTCTGTGCCAGCTATGTCAACCCTTTCAGATTTGCAAACTGCACCTGGAAGATACAAGAACTAGCAGATGGCTCTAATTTCAGAGTGCCCTTGACTGCTAAAAAGAAGGCACTGATGAGGATTTGTCTGAGGCCAGGATTTTGGGCTGCTATGTATAGAAGGGATTAGCCATTTGCTGGGAGGATCACCAGTACATACTCTCTGTGTGGCCCAGTCCAACTTCTGTCCTGTGAGCTATGCTCTACCACCTAGTGCCCAGGCAAACCCCACATTTTAAAATGCAAAGGAATAACCATTGCATGGTAAACCTAGTGGGAAGGAACAAGACACAGCACAGGAACAGATGTGCATCCACAGGAGCAATTTTTACTGAATTGACCAAGAAGGTAAGAGCATCTCTGACTTCAGTCACCTTAGAATAAGAATGGTCTTGTTCTACCAGCCCCTGATTAAGCCTCTGGGGAGCTTAGGAAACACAGTCTAGAAAAGATTGCCTCAAAAATGTAGACATACTCTACTGAGGAGGAAAAAATGTGAATGCAGATATTGATCACATCTTGTGTTACCCCTTCTCTCGAAACTTATCTCTAAAGGCAGAGAGGATGGAGGCTGTCTGGAGGCTCCTCCTGGCATATTTAACTCCCTCCTGTCCCCCTCCTACTTGCATATATGGACTTCCCCCGTTAGCCACAGGCTTCTCTGCCTGAGGTGCCCATTCTCAAATGCAGGCCATGCAGGCTAGAAATCTCTCCTCCCATCTCTTTACACATCCCTTTGAGTCTTATGTGTAGTAGGTGCTCAATAAGTGTTTGCTGAATTGATCCGTGTGCACACAAGTGTGTTTGGGGAATAACTTAATTCTCAGGGTTCCCCTGTATATAGGAAACCCCATTTTCCACTGAGAGAGACTAAGGCGCAAAAGCTCCGGATCACACAGCTTATGGAGCCACTGACCCTCCTCTCCCTCACCTGGTCTGATGTTTTCAGCCGGGGCATGGTGGCGCATGACTGCAATCCCAGAACTTTGGAAGGCCGAGGTGGGCGGATCACTTGAGCCTGGGAGTTCAACAACAGCCTGGGCAACATGGTGAAACCCTGTCTCCACCAAAAATACAAAAATTTAGCTAGGCGTGGTGGTGCACACCTGTGGTCCCAGCTACTCCAGAGGCTGAGGTGGGAGGATCGCTTGAGCTAGGGAGGTAGAGGCTGCAGTGAGCCAATATCCTGCCATTGCACTTCAGCCTACGCGACAGAGTAAGACCATGTCTCAAACAAAACAAAACAAAAACCCACGAAGTTTTCTTCCGAAAGGGGTGGACTGGGGAGGCCTGGCTTGGGGTCACTCTGCAGGTATCGGCTTCCTTTGCAAGGGGACGAACTGAGCCATCTTTTTGCCATTATCCGAGATGTGATCATCCCAAATAAGCAGCTCTCGGTGTTTCCGTTTTGAAACTTCTCCGACACTCCTATCCAGGGCTGACTCCGGGTGCCACAGCCTAGTGTAGTTGCCGGCGAGATCAAGCCCTGCCACCGGTCCCCCCATCCCCGCAGAAGCCAGGAGGGCGCCGGGCCGCGGGAGTGGGGTGCTGGGCCCAGAAAAGAGGCTGCAGGACACCACCGCACCCCCATGCTGGGGACTGCCGACACACGAACCCCTACAAACGCTGCAGCCCTCGCCCGACCGCTTGGCCCCTAGCTTCGCCGCTTCTTCTCCCTCGACCACCCGGCCCTTCTCTCCAGCGTACCGAACCGGTCCCGGGCCTGAGGAGACTCACCGCGCCACTCCAGGAGCCGCTCCGGGGAGAGCGGCTCCGCCACGCCCTCGGCGCAGCCCCGCGGTGCCCTCAGCAGCAGCAGCAGCAGCGGCAGCAGCAGCAGCGACTGCAGCATCGCTAACCACTGGGCTCGCCGGGCGCCACACGTCCCGGGAGCCCCGAGCCGCGCCCCAAACACCCGGCCCTGCGGCGCGGAGGCGGATCCGCAGCCTCCTCCGAGCCCCACCCCTCCAGGGCCCCCGCCGCCCCCGGCCCTGGAGACCCACTCCGCCACCCCTGCAGCCACAGTGAACCGACACTCGGGGCTCTGGGCTGGGGCGCGGGGAAGTCGCGGAGGTTTTCCCTGCCCTACCCTCTGCGGCTTGGGGAAGGAGGAGGAGGGGGTGGGCCATCTGCCCATCCCAGAAATTCCTGCGTTTGGGGCGGGGACGGGAGGAGTGAGGCTGCCCGGGACACACTCTCCGCTCCTCCTGCCCGCAGCCCCCCCTCTCCTTTCTGGGGGACGCCGGAGAGGAGTTGGGGGTGAGCGATTTGAGAATCTCCAGGACACGGAGTCTGACATCCGGGTTCGCAAACTACCCAGATTCTGGTAAACGCCGCGGGTTTGCAGAGGGCAGCTTAGAGTGAACTTGCCCTAGAGTAACCCAAAGATTCTTCTGTTGTTCAGCTCCTTCGGTTTTGAAGTAACCTCCTGTTTTCATGTCCTTTTGATCTCCCAAGCCCCTCAAAGTAGCCGGGATCCCTATTATCCCATTTTACAGCTGAGAAAGCCTGCCCAGGAAATCGAAGTGCTTTGCTTTTTTTTTTTTTTTTTTTTGAGACGGAGTTTCGCTCTCCTTAACCAGGCAATGGCGCGATCTCGGCTCACCGCAACCTCCGCCTCCTTTCAGGCAATTCTCCTGCCTCAACCTTCTGAGTAGCTGGGATTACAGGCACATGCCACCATGCCCAGCTAATTTTTTGTATTTTTAGTAGAGACGGGGTTTCACCATGTTGACCAGGATGGTCTCGACCTATTGACTTCGTGATCCACCCGCCTCGGCCTCCCAACGGTGCTTTGCTTCTTAACCCAGCAAAAGTTACTCTCTAGTAAGTGGGACAGCCTGGACTAGAATGCGATCCTTCTAACTGTCCTTCAAATAACCAGCAGAGTGCTGGAAGCGTTTAATATTCTGAGAACAGGCTCATATAAGACCTTTCTTCAGAGGGACCTTGAAACGTAGAACTGACCTTGAGTCATTAAAACATAAGTGGGTGGGGGAGGGCAGAAAGCAGAGCCTGGAAGGAGATGCCCATCAGGGAGCAAGATTGAAGGTCAGAGCCAAATGAGGAAGAAGGGGAAGCGGTTGCCTTGGCCACTGCCTTAACAAAAGGTGCTCAGTCCTGCAGTAACCTCAGGGAGCCTCAGAACTGTCTGTCCGAGGACAAAAGGGGAAAAGTGTTTATCTATGGACGTTTATCCTTCTCTGTTGATAAGGGAGATCCTAGGGTTATTAACTCCCCTGCACTCTTCTACAGCAGGGGCGAGTTTCAGGCATGGTCCCACGCTTTGTCTCTGAGAAGCCCTGGGGCGGGAAGCTGCAGGTGCACAGCTTGGCAAAAGGCGAGGCACTGTCAGGTTGTTTTTCAGGGGGGTGGGGACCAAGGAGACAGCTAGGGGAAACAGGCTGTAGAGGAGGCTGGAGTAAGAGGTGGGTTGAGAGGATGTGCGAGGTTACAGTGTGTGTAGAGTCTACATATCATTACACGTAGAATTCAGCATTCCTGCTTGAAAACATGCAGAAAAGAGATGCTTTAATCTAGTAGATTACACAGACTTCAGCCACAAACTATGTATCCAGCTCTCCTAAGGCCTCAGAACTACACTGTTATGAGAATATTCCAATAGTATTATAATAGAAGATCTGGCCCTGCCCGAGCAGGCTGGCATGTATTGCAGCAGGCAAGTGCAATGCACGTGGCATAATTAGGTCATAAAATGGGACACTGATTCTTATCTCTGGTGAAGTCCAAGGTAGTAAAGTCCAAGACAGTAAAGTGAGAGTCTAGAAGGAGTTGGAGTGGTCACAGAGGCTTAAGTGTGCTGAGATAAGGTAGTGGGTATTGGGAGGAAGAGGCTGTTGGAGGATGGGAAGAAATTGCGAAAAAAAAATATTATACAAAGGTTAAAGTGAGAACTGTTTGTATGGGAGAGAGTGAGGCATGTCTGTCTGAAGTAAAGGGCAGCCACTGGGGCACCCTGACAAATGAGGACAGTTGCTGGGACATTGGGCTACCTCCCACTGGCTGTGGACCAGGGTGAGTTGTTCACATGCTATGAGCCTGTTTTAGTCTCTGTATAATGAGGGGGGAAAATCTTCCTTTGACCCGTAGCAGATACTATTCTGAAGTAGCAGAGCTGGGACTGTAAGTAAAATAAGAAGGGAGAAACAAACCTTATTTCGTCTTCAGAGCAATTAGTATAATGAAGAGAGGTGATGACAGTTTCCTGGCCTATCAACCCCATATTGCCTATTCAACCATTAGAACACTCAGAAAAGAGCTACTTAAAAAGAAAAAAATCTCTTCCTGAAACACTGCAGCTTCGAAATGGAAATCTGTGGTAAAGAGCTTTTCAGCCTTCAAGAAAACAACCACCACCCATATTCTGGACTCATGTATGTTTCAGGTTCTTGAGGCAGTGTAGGGTAATGATTAAAAGAGGCAGCTCTGCCACTTACCAGCAAACCAATTAGTTTCCCCTAGCCTCAGTTTCCTTCTATGTAAAATGGAGATAATAATGTTTGCTTCATTGTGTGGTTGCATTAAATGAGCTAATGTATGCAGAGTGCTTCCCACAGAGTCTGACACACTGTAAAGTTCACCTCTGGGAGCTGTGGGTGTATGGGGAGGGAGTGAGGAGCAGAGAGCAAGAGCAAAGCTCAGAAGCCATGCTGCAGAGTGCTGTACTATTGGTAATTATGGCTCCAGACTAGGGGGCACAAAGGAGCACAAGCAGCTGGGGAGCACGAAGGGCAGGGTTTGGTGCCTGCTGGCCTTTGTACAGCTTCCCATTGCTTTCCTTCTCCTTTGGAGTTGGAATTCATTATTTATGTCTCTCACCTGAATGTGAATTTCAGAAACTTAGTCATCTCTCAATCTCTGTTGAATGAACAAAGGAATGAAGGAAGGAAGGAATGAGGTTGAAAGAAAGACAGTAAGCCCTCACTTAACATCATCTATAGGTTCTTAGAAACTATGATTTTAAGCAAAACAACATATAACAAAACCAATTTTCTTTTTCTCATCAATGTAATAATGAAATCACATTGAAGGAAATAATGTTACTTGAGGACCTACTGTATGTCATTTCACTTAAAATTGTAGTTTCCAAGAACCTGTCAGTGACATTAAGTATGGGATCATTTGAAACTTGAGAAAAATATTAAAGCTTAGAATTGTATTGATAGTGAAAAAAATGGGATTTAAAATTCAATGTGTGAGCTGTGGTTTGGGTCAAAATTAACAAAATTTTTTAAGCACTGTACGAACTAGGGTATCAGCAAGAAAGGGTGAGGTCCTGATTTGTTGAACATTTACCCAAGGGACTGTAGACTCTGAAAATTTGAGACAGGCCTCAGTTAATTTAGAAAGTTTATTTTGCCAAAGTTGAGGACACACACCTGTGACACAGCCTCAGGAGGTCCTGACAACATGTGCCCAAGGTGGTCAGAGCACAATTTGGTTTTATACATTTTAGGGAGACATGAGACATCAGTCAACGTATGTACGATGAACATTTGTTTGGTCTGGAAAGGTGGAACAACTTGAAGTGAAGAGGGTGGCTTCCAGGTCTTAGGTAGATAAGAGACAAATGGTTGTATTCTTTCTAGTTTCTGTTAAGCCTCTCCAAAGGAGGCAATCAGATGTGTATTATCTCATTGAGCAGAGAGGTGACTTTGAACAGAATGGGAGGCAGGTTTGCTCTAAGCATTTCCCATCTAAGTTTTTCCCTTTGGCTTATCGTGATTTTGGGAGCCCAAGATATTTTTATTTCACATTTCATGTCTTTTCCTTTAAAAATCTTTTAGAGGCCAGGCGTGGTGGCTCACACCTGTAATCCCAGCACTATGGGAACTTGAAGTGGACAGATCACCTGAAGTCAGGAGTTTAAGATCAGCCTAGCTAATATGGCAAAACCTCATCTCTACTAAAAATAAAAAAATTAGTTGAGTGTGGTGGTGCACGCCTGTAATCCTAGCTACTCAGGAAGCCAAGGCAAATAATCACTTGAACCTGATAGGCAGAGATTGTAGTAAGCAGAGGCAGAGATCATGCCACTGCACTCCAGCCTGCATGATAGAATAAGACTCTCAGAAAAAAAAAAAAAAAAAAACTTTTGGAGAAAATTAGTCTCTGGTCCCAGGTTTTGTCTTTTTATCTGACATTTCATAGCTAGGATGGCTTATTCCTAGACAGGTATGTCCTAAGTTATTATGAAAGCTCATTTTTAGAAGGTTGTGAAGTCTCATGTCCTATGAAGAGAAAATAGGGGGAGGAAAGGAGAATAACAGCAATAAACAAAAGAACCATTTTGGAAAATTATGTAGGCCACATTACTCTGAAGTCCATACATCAGTAGGCAGGTATGAATGTGGCTTATGTATGTAATTTGGAAATTTCTTTGGATTTGATCAAGTCAGACAGAGTTAATCAAACCCCAATGGTAAAAAAGACCCAAGGACAAAAACAGAACCAAACAACAAAAAAACAAACAAAAAACAGTTAAGCAAAACAATTACACAACTTAATGTGATTACTGAGTGCTTTAATGGTAAGGAGAAATTAAAACCAGTTGGTTGTAACTTAGCCAAGACAAAACCCCAGTTTAGCTACTTACCTAGGGGTGGGTCTCATGCTGAAAATGTCTCTCCACCATTCTAGAAACAAGAAAAACAAACAAACAAACAAAAAAAAACCTCGTCTTCCCTGTAGGAAATGAGCTCAAACTCCATGAAGGATTACCTGCTTTCCATTGTCATGGAAATTTTGGGAGATCAGGGATTCTCTGCAGGTGGAGCTCCCAAACCTCCACAAATTGTCCTTCCTACTGGTTTGAGCCATAAAGTTAGCTTATGCTGGCACCAAGCACAGATAGATTTGTCAAAGGTCAGGGGAACTGCCACTCAGACTCCCTTCACGGTTACCAAGATATGAACCCTGAAAATTTATGACAGGTCTTAGTTAGTTTAGAGAGCTTATTTTGCCAAGATTGAGTATTCATGCCTATGACACAGACTCAGGAGGCCCTGGTGACATGTGCCCAAGGTGCTCAGAGCACAGTTTGGTTTTATACATTTTAAGGAGCCATGACACATCACTCAACATATGCGTGTGTGACGAACATTTATTTGGTCTGTGAGAAGTGAAGTGGGG